CAATCTGTTGTCCCAATTGTTACAAGTTGTACTTGGCCCAGTGACATATCAAGGTGACCCCCTCTCCCAGCACAGGCTAGCAATGTGGCCAAAGGTGCCTCCTCTCTTTACTAAGACAGGGGAAGACCCATTGCTAGCCAATGCCTGGTACAGGAGTGGTTCCAACTGAGGTGTGCCACCATTGTGATTGTTGTTGTTGTTAAGTGCCATCGAGTCGATCCCGACCCATAGCGACCCTGTGTAGGGTTTCCAAGGAGCCGCTGGCAAGCTTGAACCACCGACCTTGCAGTTCCAATGACTTTGCAGTCTGATGCATTAGCCCACAGCACCACACCAGGACTCCTTAATAGTGGTGGTCATACAAGCCTCTACTCAACCCACCTGGCTGTAAGCTGATGCAGGGAAAAAGAGTCAATGGACAGAAACAAGGGTTGTAAGGATGGACATCACCTTACCCCTTAACCCTCTGGACAATCTGTAGCCTGCAGGGTAACTATGTAGATTGGCCAATGACAAAAGGAACAGTGAAAGACCCGTGGGGAAAAGCGCCATGGCTGTGGCAGGACATCTGAGAGCGCCTCCAAACCTTGGGCACTAACCTGGTTTTCAGGTACAGCCATTTACCTCTTGCCAGACAGAGAACCAAGAAGCAAGTGCTACAGCACCAGTCAGAATGGTATATCCAGTAGGGAATTAGACACTGTTGCGCCATGTTGGTTGGAAAATAGCCATAACAAGATAGTAATTTGGTAGCTGCTGTACAAAATTATCTTGTGTGCTCACTCGATGCCCTAAACTTCTTCCTCACTATTCTGGAACAATAGATACATAAGCAAGCCCAGTCAGTGGGGGGCAGGCAGGCAGATTATACAGCAAAGTTTCCCTAGCAGGAGGGATGGAAGTGGGTCTCCTTTTCTGGTATATAGGAAAATGGGTGATTTTACTCACAATCCTCTAGTGCCTTTCCTGGGGCATCAAGTATGGTCCACTCAGGGAAAATGCTGAAGGCACTCACTGTTCTCAGTACCTGAGGGGAAGTCACTATAGTGATCCTAATAGAAGGAAAAAATGTACCCCTCTTGCTACCTGGTAACACCTGTCTTTCCAACCACAGGTGTGTTCTACTCTGCTTTCCTCTCTTCAGGGCAGAGGATGTTTGCCTAGAGTGGGCTTACAGCTTCACTGAAGTCCCCCACAAAAACAGCTGCTGGATCTGTGGACAATCCGCCTTCTCAAGCGTTGACTGCACATCTTGAACGTGAGACCTCTGATTAAGTAGCCATGGGAAACACCTAAGAGTGTGTTCCTACCTCTGTGACTAAGGAACGGGATGGGAGAGTGGGGGGAACACACATAGCATCACCGTCTCTTGGACCCAGATTGTCCTGGAAACATGCATTTTGAAAAGAGATCACAATGCCTCTTGGTGTGGCCATGAGAGGGTGGGGATGGTTTAGGTTAGCTTGTGCCCACCTAGTTCTAGGAAAGCCTGCCTCTATGAGCTGAGTAAGACCTCATGAGTTCTCGTGTCTCCCTCCAAGTCCCTCTCCTGAACGGTTCAGTGTCCTGTCTCCCATTACCAGCAAGTGATAGCACTGGATGGGTGCAGCACCTCGTTCCTAATGAACGACACTAAATGACGGTGTGTCTGTTACTTGTGGCCCTGGTTACCATGTGATTCGGTAAGTGCTCCACTCTGGGGTGGCCCTATGCTGCCAGAACCATCTGAATTACTCCACGGTTAAAGCCAGGCGCACCAACTGCGTTTTCTCCTGGTGCGATCACCTTTGAACTGTTTTTGTTCCTTTCCTTGGCCCCTTGGAAGTCATAGGACACACTGAAGCTCTAAGGAATTTTACTAAGCAGGTCTTGAACAACCGCAGAGAACGCTCGAAGCTGAGTAAGTTTGACCTTCAGAACTGAATGGATCTAGATATTTTAACAGCTGCTCAAGGTGGGACATGTGTTATAGTAAAGACCAGATGTTGTATATATTATATATATATATAAATATATATACATATACCAGACTACTGGTGTGGTGCTGTGGGCTAATGCGTCAGACTGCAGAGCCATTTGAACTGCAAGGTTGGTGGTTCAAGCTCACCACCAGCTGCTCCTTGGAAACCCTATACAGGGTCGCTGTGGGTCGGAATCGACTCGACAGCATTTAACAACAACAACAACCAGAACAGGGTTGCTATGGATCAGAACCAATTCGAAAGCACTTAATAACAACGGCAACAACCACCAGAACATTACTGATTTATCAGGCTACAGGAAGAAACAGATAAAGGCTTTGAACATACCTGCTGTGGTCACTTGGTTTCCTTCCTTCCTTCTCTTGGGGCTGCTGCTAATTTTTGTTGCATCTTTGTTTTTTTCCTGGGCATAGGCTTGCTCTGCTGTGTTTTATCTAAATTGCAGCTGTGGTCTGTACCTCCAATTACAGCAAAGTTGCCTCTCCCTACATGTTGTTAAGTGCCATCGAGTCGATTCCGACCCATAGCGACCCTGTATAGGGTTTCCAAGTTTTAAAACCTCTGTTGGGGGCTGCAGGGACTTGGTAGAAGAAGGAGGCCTGCAGGTTGTAAGAGCTGGTCCTGGAGGATGGACTGAAGGGGAAATAGATTTTGTATGGGTGTAGCAGCTGCTTTCTGATAGCCCATTTCCACTCATTAAATCACTCCTATGCAACTTGGTGTGGTGCTGTGGGTTAGTGCGCTGGACTGTAAAGTCAGTTTGAATTGCCAGGTCGGCAGTTTAAGCTCACCAGCTGCTGCTCAGAAACCCTACGCAGGATTGCTATGGGTCAGAACCGACACAAGGCACTTAATAACAATGCAACTTTTGACGAGGTGATCTTGGAGTTGTCATGTTCACCAAAGCCATAAAAAACTCCTGCGTCCTGCTAGGAGGTACAGAAGATTGAACCAACCCAGCCACCACCACTGCCCAAGACTAATCCCCCTTAAAAACCTCCTTGCTGCTACTATGGAGTTGCTGACCTTTTTCTTCTATCCCACAGCCCTCTCTATATTTCTGATAGTTTTTTTCTGCTTGCTAAGTTACTCTTATGTAACTTTTGATGGGGTGGCCTTGGAGGGATATTTCAGGTCTAGGTCAAGATAGGAGACAATATTGAAGTTGTCAAGGGTTTCATTTTACCTGGATTCAGAATCAACACATATAGAAACACCATTTAAGGAATCAAGCTACATATTGCTTTGGACAAATATGTTGCAAAAGGCCTCTTTGAAGTGTTAAAAAAACAACAACTAAGTTTTCACTTTGATGAGAAAAGTGCACTTGACCCAAGTTAGGGTATTTTCCATCGTCTTATATGCATGAGAAAGCTGGACAATGAATCAGGAAAACAGAAGAAAAACTGATACCTTTGAATTATGGTGTTGGGAAAGAGTATTGAATATGGACTACCAGAATGAACAAATCTGTTTTGGAAGAAGTACAGCCAGAGTGCGCCTTAGAATCAAGGATTCTAATACTTTGGACCTGTGGTCAGAAGGGACCAGTCCTTGGAGAAGGATATGGAATTTGGCTGAGGGTCAGTGGGAAAAAAGTAAGACCCTCGCAGAGATGGAATGACACAGTGGCTCCAACAATGGGCTTAAACATAGACTGTCAGGAGGGCGCAGAACTGGGCAAGCAGTGCTTCCTTCTGTTGAAGCCAGGCTCACTGAGTCTAAACTGGTTCCATGTCACCTAACAACTACAACAACATACAGACACGTGGAAAATCTCAATTGTGTCTGGTAGTTGGTACAATGGAATGTTCATCATAAAACCTAAGGTATTGTACAGAATTGTTGATAGTGCCATTGAGTTGGTTCCAATGCTGTATAGATAGGGTTTCTAAAGGAGTTCTGGTAGCGTAGTGGTTACAAATCAGGCTGCGAACCTCAGGGTCAGCAGTTCGAAACTACCAGCTGTTCCGCGGGAGAAAGATGAGGCTTTCTGTTCCTGTAAAGATTTACAGCCTCAGAAACCCTGTACAGGGTCGCTATGAGTCAGAACCGACTGGACGGCACTTAACAACAACAAAATAGGGTTTCTGAGGAGTGGCTGATGGGGTTCAAACCGACATCATGCTTATCCTACAGCGCCACTAAAAAAAATGGGACCTTTCTCAAACCTTCGTTAACCCTTGTTTCTTAAGAACCGGGCAAATGGGGGTGGGGTGGGGTGGAGACTTTTCTGATCTAGGAGTACCTTCCAGTTCTAGATTCTAAAGTTGTCACCCTCATAAAGGCCCCCTATAAGGTGCTCGCCATTTTGTAATAGTGCCTTTAATTAGGAGGGAACACGTGGGAAACAGGTGGAGGCTCGGACAGGGGGCTTCGGACAAGTTACAACCTTTCCTAGAAGTCACTCCCAGACCCCCTACACACACACTCCGAGTGCTATCAACTGCGGGCCTAGTCTCCTTCAGTTTTCCCACGGGAGGAGGAGACCCCCAAGCCACTGCTGGGGCAGTCAGACCGACAGGCGTGGACAAGGCCTCCAGGAGGGCAGCCACAGTCTCCTCGCCTCGCCTTGCCAGCCACCCACACCTGGCCAAGTTTATGGCCAGCTCTTTGGCGGCTCTTCGGTTACCTGAGCTGGACAACGACGTCAGTGCCACATCATCTGGGCTTTTCATATTGCAAGGAAGCAGGAAAAGAAAGAAGAAAAAAACCCGCCTCCGCGAGCCAATCGCCGAGAGCCGCCCGCTGCACAAAGGCGCCGGCGGGATCGCCAGCCGAGAAGGCGCGCGGCGGGCGGCGGCACCAGGGGCTC